GTTTGTCCCACTAGCTCTGCTCTTCAGATGGGCTGTAGATACACGCAGGAGGAAGCACAGGGAAAACATCAATGTGACCTATAGACTTGAATTACTCAAATAACTTGAGGTCTCAGCTTGGAGGCCACATAATCAGCTGGTTTCAAACAAATGCTTCTTACCTTGCTGAGCAGGAGCTTCCTCTCCTTGTTGGCTTCAGGAAGGTGGAAGGTGACGTGTCCTGCCCTCGTGCAGCCGGGGTCCTGCCCCAGTTTGCAACCTGATGGCCACCATTAGCCACAGGGAGCTTTGCATCACTCCTTTGCTGTAGTGAGAACCAGATCTGAGTGCTGCGTTCATGGAGCATTCACTACTGCTATGGCTATTTGTTTGTATCCTGTCAAAGATTATACTTGCTTCAGCTCCTTCTTCCTCCTTTTTCCTCATTAGGTCAGATGGTATCTTTTTATTAAGCAGCATAAGAAAAGAAGGAAGATTTAAACTCATTTAACCTTGACTATAGCCATTAGTTAAGCAATTAAAATTAAAGGGTGAGTTAATGGGCAGTGTCAAACATTCGGAGAAACATCTGCTGTAATAGAAGTGTGCCTTTTAGCTGATGAATAATTGATCCATCCCTCCTTGGTACCTAAGTCTGGGTGAGGAGGCAGTGCTGGCCCTGCTGGAGCATCACTGGTGTCCCCTCCCCTGTGGCAGGCTCCAGGACAGCAGGAAGACTTGCCACCACCACTTGAGGATGCATTAAGAAAATCTGCATTGTATCTCCTCAGTCAAGGTCATTCCTCTCAGTTCTTTTGCTTTCCTGGGTTCAGATGTGTTATTTCAGGTCTAGAGGAACTGGTGGTCTATTTTTACACCTTTATTAATGTGTGCGTGGATGGATGTGGTGTCTGTCTGGACATCAATAGCCGGTGATGTAGATGACTCAAACTGCTTTGGATTGTAACACTGATCTAAATTAACTCGCTTTTTTGGCAGACAGCAAATGTGAGAGAATGTCTTTGCTAATGCATTGAGGACAACACTGTAAATATTGACCAAAGATTGAGGGGTAAATAGCAGAAAGCATTTGTCTCTTGACAGTGATAAGGCTAATAATGCTGAAGTTACTTATGTAATGCTATGTGCTTCCATAGAAGGCCGTATTTGTGTTGCACTGGTCTCTGCGTGGGGTGGATTGATGGATCAAGGTCTCATCAATCACACAGACCCACCGTGCTACCAGGATGGGAGCACTCTGGTGACCCAGACACCGAATTGAGGGCACTGGAGCATTTGTTGCGTGGGATGTGGGTGAGGGAAACCTGGGTCATGGAAGGATCTTGATGTGCTGTTTTCTGCATTGTCTCTTAATCCCTGAAAAATCACACAAGATTCCTTGCGCAATGCTTCAGACCTTGTGTGTACAACCAGCTGAAGCGAGACAAGCCTGACTCTGTGCTCCTGCTAGTTGTTAGTGTGGCAAGGGGAGCTCCTCACCTTTGTATCTGGGTGTCTGAGTGCAGGCCTCTTTGTAGAAGGGATTTGGGGAAAAGCACTGGGAAGGACACAGAAAAAGCAGAATGAAAGTTAATGGGAAGATATCTTTGAGTGTTAACTGAATGTAGGTTCTTCTCTCTTTCTCAGGCTGTGTCTGGTCAACGTTTAACCCACGGAGGTACAAAGCAGTAATATTCATTGAGAGAAAAGTAGTAAAATCAATTCCACGCTCCCAAAGAAAACACTTGTATAAATATTTGGTTTTCATATCCTCATCCCTCTTTTCTCAGGACAATTTGAGGAACTTGAATTTATGCAGTTCAGGTTTTGTTTAAAATCAAGTCAATATGTGCTTGCATCATAAGCATAAAGAAAGGGAAATAAACTGGGATGGGAAAATTATCTGTGTGCCTTCAGCTGGTGTTAGCTGACAGCAAGCAGAACCTGTAGTTCACTTTCTTCCCGTATCTCACCCCCTGCCTTTGCTCTAGCATCTGCTCAAACTTCTGCTGCTGTTTTCAACTTCTTTTTCTGCTTCTTTAGAGTAGAGCAGCTCTTTTCTCAATATAAAATTGTCCCTGGATTATTTTCAAGTGTTTGATGCCTTGCTCCGCTTCTACCTTTCACTAGCTCGTCAATATTGTCTTTAATGACACACAAATGCAAACAGACCTTGCTTTTAAGGCTGTGTACAGCAGGCAACACATTTGGCTTGCTCTGGAACTCCTTGAACCAGGGTATATTTAAACAAAATTTTAACTGCTGAGGTTATGAACACGCATAACTGCCCATCTGAATGTGTGTGGGACGTGTACAAAGAAGTTCATGTTGAACTTGAAGTAGGAGCTTTTTTAAAGCAAAGATAACTGCAAAGATGGATGAAGTAGCATTTTGTTTTTAACCCTGAAGAATTTTATTTCAGGAAATTAAAGCAGTTGGACAAGGAGATCATATTCAAAGCTAGAATTCAGCCAATCCGTCTCTCACTAAGAAAAAAGAGAATATTTTCAAACTTCAGTAGCAAAAGGACCTCTCAGAAACAGCAAAAAGTCTCAGAAGACTGACTTTTTCAATGTGCTTAATTTCACGTATGGTGATACTACATAGCTAAAAGAGTATATATTTCTTTTACTTTGCCCCAAAATCCATATTGACGTTTCCATGCCAAACACAACTTCAACAGTGTCCCTATGGTGATGTAGGTGACACATTATAGTAACCTGGTTATGTTTTCTTGACCATAAACTTACAAAAATTACCACTATGCTTTTCTCTCACTAAAGGATTTTGAATAAGGGAGCCATGAAGAAATTTCTGCTGAGCATTTTAGCTGCGGTTATTGACTTAAATGAAAGCAAACATTTTCTTGTGTGGTAGCCAGATATTATCCGTACTGACTTTTCAGCCCTTCTGTTTACATCCACAGACAATAAATGGGGAGTTGTCTCAGCCCAGAGCATTTTTCCCCCTCATGCCACATCTTCCCAGAGAAGGGCACACAGCGGCAGTGGGTTATCTGAGGATATGGGCTATAGGAACCACGATGTTAGAACAGTGGAGTTTATGCATGGGATTATAGGATAGCGGGAAGCTGCTGACTAATCTGCTCCAGGATTACCTTGTGCATTGACACAGCAAAAGATTTGGGTGGTAATGCCTAATTTTTCCTTATGTTCTTATTATGATTGCCAGCCAGTCATCGCATCCCTGTGTGGGGAGGAAGGCGAGCAGAGATTTGCATGCAGAGACAATCCTCTGCCCTGACTGCTTGCCCAATTTGGGCTGCATGCATGCATCCCAGCGTGTGATGCTGGCCTTTCTGCCTGGCACACACAGTCCCAGGCTGACACAGAAGGGAGGTGGAACTGGGAGAGATGGGTTCATTGCCAGGTGCCGCACGTGGAAATGAGCAGAAGAAAGCACACTGATGTGACTTATTGGCCTGTCTGTGAGTTTGGCTTTTTAAAGTTGTCTTATTTCAGGAATGGAAGCAAATGGAGGTCTGATATGGTAGGATGCTTGGTGTTGCTAGTCTGCCTTTCCCCAAGGTGCCCTCAGAGCCAGCAGGCTGCAGACTCTTGGGAAGAGAAGGACAAGTTAGGGAGGGGGAAGGAAAGAAATCTCATTGCAAATACAGCCTAAAGTTGATGCTGGGGGAATTCTGAGTAACTGTTGCTTCATTCCAAAGTAAAACAGGATAGATTTGGCGTTTTCTTCAGAAAAGCTGTTTGTGATGTTAGCAGCTACTCAGGCAAAATAAAGGAAAACTGCACAACTTCTGGGGGCTTGCATGTTTTCCTTCTGCCAGCAACTGACAGCTCTGCTCTGCCTGTCATCTGCAAACAAGCTGAATTACTCACCGTAACAACAGTTGGAGGAATCTGTTTTTATAGCCCAGAAATGGGTTTTGGCCTTGCCCTTTTTTGGTAATCTGTTTGGAATTTGTTGGTGTTGGTGATCAACAGTTGTTTAAGGCTGCTGGCAGCCCGCTGGTCTTCACAGAATGAATCAGTGGTCTTGGGCCCTTTCCAGCTCTGTGCATTGAGCATTGCTTTCTCATGATGCAAGGGAAAGGGTGCAGTCAACACTAAAAGGCAGAAAATTTAAAACTGATGAAAGGAAATGCTTTTCCACACAATTAGCCTTTGGGATTTGTTACCACATGGAGCTGCTTACACCAAACATTTAGCATGTCTTTGGAGGAGGAAAGGGTATCAGGGTATTTATATGGAAAACAGATTTTCCTAGGAAAAAGGTTCAAACACATAACAGGATTCTGAGGTTCAGAGCAGAAGTTTCAACTTCGGTTTGAGCAATGTATGTTCTCTCTGGACCACAGCAAGGTCTTGAATTGCCACCTGCAGTCCCAGGTGAGCATCATGACCACAAGTTACACTTGTTCATCTGCTGTTATAATTGTTTTCCCTGCCAGTGGCTAACTCAGCAGCACAAACTTTCCAGGTGAAGGCATTTCAGCAGTGGCACAGCTAATATTGCTTTTCCTATTCCTGTGCCACAAAGGACTGGTTTCATCTTTGCAATTATTAGGGCAGCAAATGAGTTCGTAGAATCATAGCATCATGGAATTGGTTGTGTTGGAAAAGACCTTAGAGCCCACCCAGCTCCAACCCAGCAATGGGCTGGTTGCCCCCACCAGCTCAGGCTGCCCAGGGCCCCATCCAGCCTGGCGTTGGGCACCTCCAGGGATGGGGCACCCACAGCTCTCTGGGCAGCAGTGCCAGGGCATCACTGCCCTCAGAGTGAAGAATTTCTTCCTAATATCCAATCTAAATCTAAATCTAGACTACTCTCTTTTAGTTAAACCCCTTGTCCTAAGATGTCTGGTGGAGGTGAGAAGGCAGCTCTTATCTTGGGCTCTTTGTGCAATTGTCCCAGCCTGAGCAGGCCATGTTGGTTAGATCACCAGTTTGCCCTTGTGTTACTTGAGGAAGGAGAGCTGTTTGAGCTCTGTCTCCATGGAGCTTTGTGAGACAGGTGTGTGTTGCCCTGGGATGCTTTCCCTGTGCATCTCCAGGGATGTGGTATAACCCAGTGTGTGCTCCTGCGCTTCACACGGGGCCTTCCTCATGATCTGTCTGTCTCTCATGCAGGTTCCAAGCCCAGGAGGTTTGTGTTTGAAAGGAGTTTTGCTGAACGGAGTGTTGAGAGTGAAGGAGGAAGCAAGCCTTGCTCCTGAGAGATTTTTCTTATGGCCACACAAGGTCTGTTCCCTCAGGAGCCACCCAGGCTGGAGTTTCAGAGTGGTTATTACAGTCACAGCCTCCTCGTGTCACCTCATGATGAAATCAGCGTGGCATTTTGTGGTGGGTTTTCCTTTGTCTTTTGTTTTGAAAATACCTGACCTGTTTTTTAAAAACAAAAATCCCCCCTGGGTTTTCCAGCTCCCCCAGAAATGACAAGCCCCTTTTTCTACTCTCAGTTCAGTGCTCACCTGACAGCCTGTATTTGCATGCAGGTGTTCCATTACACCAAATTTGTTCCAATGCACTGCAACTGTTTCCATAGTGTAAAATTAGGCAGTTTGATGAAAAAGGTACTTTTAGATAAAACAGTCAGATCACTCAGGTGCTCAGTTTGTGCGCTCTGACCTCCTGCTGGCCTCCACAAGAACCATTCCTGGCATTGTGCAGAGCCACCCAGATCCCCTCCTGTCCTTTCTTCCTTGCTGTCAGCAATATCAGTGACAGCCAGTCAAGGTTAGAAATGGCCTTTAGCTAGTGTTTGCCCTCCATGCTCTGGCCAAAACACAACTTGTCCCATGTAATGTATAATCAGTACGTAATTAGAAAAAATAAAAACAAACTATTGGGCTTGTCCAGGTCCCTGTCTGAATGTAGGCAGATTTTAAACATATACTACTTATATTGAGCAGTAATACAGCTGCACAAGCAAGGAGGAGAAGGTTTTGTCACCACTATATCATTTACATTACATTACGTGAACATTTTTTCTTATCTTTTCTAAGTCTCACAACGCTGTCTAAGCCGTGAAACACTTTCTGAGCCCTGAAAACATCTTGAGCCACTGCAGGTTGAGAGCAGGAGGAAGCAGCTTGTCTCTCACTGATGACCCAAGAGCATCCTCTAGTGCATATTTAAGGTAATACTTCCACATTCCCTGCCTGTTTGCCTTGCAAAAATAATAATTAAAAAATAGAGTAAAGGACCAAAATCCTTTGTGCAGTTTGTGCTAAGTGGCAACACAAGGTGCTAGTTAAGGAAGCAATGCAAACACAGTAAGTGCTTGCTAACAATGGAGGTTGGTTTCAGTAGGAGTTAGCAGCACAAAAACCTTGTAGGGCCAAGCCTTTCAATGGTACAGTTGTGTAGCTCTCACCAATGAAACTCCGAGCATCATCCATTTTATAATGGTAAATGTATATAAGTGTCCAGATGCATTAAAATGGAAGGCTTACTGCAGAGAAACATCTTAAAATGAGTTAAAATGTGTATTACGTATTTACAGATTAATGCCTGTAAGGGGTGCGTTTTGACTACAAATGCATTTTGCTAATTAGCCAAGGTAAAAGTTATACCGCCATTGAGGCTGTGAGACTCCTTCTTTTGCCACAAAAACCTGCTCCACATGTTTGGTAACTGTAAGCCATTTTCCCACACTGGGCCACTTTTATTTTTGTTGCACTGCAAAAAACAGAGTGCAGCTAAAGATTCTAAAATAGTCGTTACAAGCTATTATGTATATGTATGTTATTATGGTATTATATTACATAAATCTAGTCCACCCCATGCCTTACTTTTTATCCTGTAAAGTGAAAAATGTTAATTTCCCTGCCTCAAAAGGGAATGAGCCTATTATGGGCTGCTGAGTGCTCAGTTAAAAAATGATGGGGAGCTGTGTAAATATTTTAGGTGGGCAGAGACGTGGCCAATGACAACATCCTGCTCTCCAAGTTCTGGACAGAAATGATGCCATACTTTCCTTCCTCACCCCAGTGCTATAGGCTTCTGCTTTTCTCAGCGTGCAAACTACTCCTCTCTCCAGTGAAGTCATGGATATGGTTTCCTCTGGCCAGCTCCTTTTGCAGAAAGTCTTCAGAAAACATGACTCTGTGTGCTCTTGAGCACTGTATGTTTGCTTCATAGTTATTACTTTCTGCTAAAAGTATGCAGCAAAACACAGCTGAACACTTCTACAGAGAAGGTTTAAAGCCCATATGATCTAATCTGGAGCAAATATTATGGCAAATAACACACAGCATTTATGCACAAAATTAAAACAAGTAGAGAGGAAAGGTGAGCTCAGGACAGCCACAGGTTAGATTAATCTTACCTCAATGCGATGAAAGGCTTTAAAAGAAACTTTGAAGTAATGAACAATTATCGCTATGGAAGCAATAGAAGATGAGATAACATTACCCCAAGTCAACCATGCCAGCATAACCTGCTAGCTTTCTTTGATAGGAGAACTGATCTTCCAGATAAGATGTACAGCATGTACCCACCTTGTTTCCCAGAGCAGTTGATAAAGTGCCAAACAGGAAATTATGCATTAAGGCGGGAATTAGTAGGAGTGTTTTGATGGGGTAAGGAACTGGCCAGGGTGTTGTGAGCAGTGAGGAAGGCACTTGCATTGGGAGAAAGCTGCTGGAGCTCTTCCTACAGGAGGAAGGTGGAAAATGGCTGTGGAGAGGGAAAGCTTGTATGTCCTAGTGGAGCAGAAGAAGAATGGCAGAAGAAGAAGAGGATCAAATTCAGTTGCTCTGAGCATGAGCTCACGGAGTAACAGTGGAGCTTTGGCCATGAAACAGGTCACTGACACTTGGGAATGGTTGGGAAGACCTCAGTGCTTCATCCAAGTGACGTCCAAGACTCACCAACATAGCATGGCGCTGGTGGTGGTGTGTTTACTCTAAGGATGTAAGGGGTGGGGATGTGTTTCCAGTAGGTGTGAGGAAGGATGAAGGCCATGAAGGTACATAAGCTGGTGAGACTTCATCTGGGACGCTCTGCTCAATCTGGTTCTGTATGTGAAAGGAAGATGAATGTAGGAGGAGGCAATGAGAGAGGATTTCTCTCACACGGTGCGGCCACCAAAGGGAGCAGTCCTGACATTGAAGGTGTGTGGCTTTTTGTTTGTTTTGTGCTGTTGTTGTTGTTGCTGTTGTTGTTTGTATTTCCTTATAAAATGAATTTAGCACCAGCACAAGCAAAGAGCATCCACAGTGTGGAGCAGAGCAGTGGCCCCAGTGAGAAGAGAAAAGACAACGATTTCCAGTACTTCATAGCAGATAACCTTCCACCATTGCTTCTTGAGCAAAAGAGATCAGAGACAGTCAGCAGTCAGGCAAACTGGATCTGACAGAGATGGGGCTGTGTGTCTGACCATGCTGTGCTGTGGGGCTATGCACCGCAGAGAGTGCAGGCACTGGTTTTGTGCTTCAGTGGTGGCACCAGGATCAGCAGAGCCAGGTTGTCCTATGAGGAATTTTGCTTTGGAAGGAGACAGCTTCTAACTCTTGGGGCTGGAAGGATGTCCTCCTTGTAGGGATGAATACTTGAAAGAGAAGCCCAGAGTGGTTCTCAAGGTAGAGCCTGAGATGTTTATATTTGGGGTTTTGAGATGTGGTTGCCTGAGGACAGCAGAGCACTAGCCAGAACTTGGGAGGCAGCTAAGCTTTGTAATGCACATAAAGAAGTCTGTAATAAAGGGAAATGGGGAAGGGAAAAGGACCTGAAATTTGAGAGCATTTGGCTTTGAAGAGATGAATGTGAAATACTGAACAGTAAAAAAACCAAATAAGGCGGTTTTGAGTGATTGATCTGAAAAGAGCTGACCATCTACATATATACCACAGCAGGTGTGATGGTCACAGGAGGGCCAATCTTAAGGCATTCCCTGCTTTTTTCACCTCTGTATTGAATCCCAGATGCAATCATTCATGTGAAGAAGCAATTTCCACTTCTGCTTCTGCCTCCTTAATTATACTGGCATCACTACAAGAAAGAATTGCTCATCCATCTCCATTCTTCACAAAAGCACTGTTTTAGTACAAAAGAGATTGTAACAATTCTAGTATTCATTTTTGGAAGAAAAGAAAGCCAGACAGGCATAAAACTCCGTATACACCACTGGTGAACTGCATTACAATAAACTTATTTAGTTTTCAAAATTTAGAGTTCATATTCTTAAAGATTCTCCAAGTGTTTTTATGTTTGTTTGTTTGTTTTGTTTTTTGGCAGGTTGGTTCTTTTTTAAATTTTATTCTTTTATCTCACACGCATTGATGTATACAATTATTGGTATATTTTCATTTAAAACTAATGATTGTGGTATTCATGTGCTGCTCTGTGCAGAACCAGCGTTACAACAGCTGAAGGAATCATAGCAAAAGCGGGAACTTGGAAACCACATTACCTATGAGAGAGTCTTAAAATCCCTTATTTCACCTAGGCACCATCCAAATCATTCTCTAATTAAGGATATCTCTTGATGTGATCAAGAATATGAAGGAAAAAGTTCACAGGCTATTACAAATCTTGCAGAGGACTGAAACCACAAAATGTTGAGCTTGGTTGACACAATGCCTTGTCTTGGTGAGGTTGGCATTGCTACTTCTAACTTCCTCTCAGAAATCCATTTTCCCTTAGTTACGTTTTGTCTAGGCTTAGTCATTTGGGTTAGAGCCCTCCATCCTATCTCTGCCTCGGGCCCATTAACTGAGGCCAGCTTTCTTTAGCTATTTCTAAGAAAAGACAGGAAGGGAAAAAGTTTCTTACAGTAAACACTGATAACCCTCTATTTTCAGAAACCCTAGCAATGCCATCTGTGTCAACAAGATGGCGGGATCTAGCAGGTGATCTGCCTGCTTCTCCTACACAACCTGAACCACCTTCCTCCCCTGGACACTAACAAATGGCCAAGTGAAGATGACCAAGATGTTGTCTATGCCCCAAAGGCCAATATACTGGGATTTAGTGGGCATATCATACAAAGCAAGGAAGGTGGCTCAGGGAAAAACATGTACAGATTTTTATAGGCAAGCTATTTTGATACCTTAAAGAGAACTGCTGGGCAAACATCATAATTTTGAGCTCAATTCTTTTGCTGACTTGTGACTTAACCATGAAACTAGATGCAGGATAAACTGGTTCAAGCAACACAGATCTTGAAAACCAAAGCAGAAATGTTCATGTCATCCGCTGCTCTGAGTTTTGCCTGTTGCAGCTGTTAGCTCAATTGCAGACTGCTCAATGTGATGAGCTAATGCACTTCTGTATGCAAAGGGACACTTGAATGCATTGGGCATGTATGTGAATATTCACTCATGGACTCTTCAGGCTGATTGCTCACCTCCTGCCCTGCCCCATGCACATGTTCTGGGTGACCCATTGCGATCCCACCTTGAGAGAGCACACAGACAGCTTTCAGCCTACACCAGCAGTGGTATCACTGAGGCACTGAGGATAGCAGGGACACTGCAACAACCATACCTCACAAATGCCCACGGGTGGGGCCCAGTGATGTGTCATTTGCCCAGTAAAACGCCTCTTAATAAATACTTGATCTAGATTGTAGTGCTGCTGCATAACAGTGGGCAGGGGAGGGGCTGCTGGAGTTATCCATCCACACTGATGGAAAATCTTGTAACCCTGTGCCTCTTCCCATCGCACCCTGCTGAGAACAACAGAGCCTCGGCTGCCCGGTAAAACCAGCATCGCATCAAGAATGTTTCATTTTCTTTCACTCTGTTCTTCATGGCACTGCCACCTGCAGCACCTCTGCTTCCCAAATGCCAAGTGATGCCTCCCCTGCCTTCTTTGCATCTCTGCCTGCCTTCCTTCCAAATGGGCTGTTGCCTGTCCCCAGGCCTGTGGCATTTGCCCCATGGCTGATGCAGCAGGGCGAGTTCTGGAGTCTCTGTTGCTCTTTGCTCTTTGGCTTCTCTCAGTTTTGTGGAACTCCATGATACCTTCCCAACACCCACACTGTTCCCAAACCCAGCCTTCTACCTATGGCATCTCCCTTCAAGTCTTAGATACCCCAAAGTTACTTTTCTCCAGCAGAGGAGATTTCATTTATAAAATCCATTGCTGTGATCAGTGCAGGTGACTGCTGAACTCCTTTTAAGCCTCTCCTTT